TCTGTTAATTTGATGAAACTAGGAATAAATACTGTTCAGCTAGTTTTTATCCAAACGTTTTGAAACTTGGTATATATACTAATTTTTGGGTGCCCTTTCATCTGGTGGGGTTTGTTTCGTGAATAGATCAATATTTCTTTGATTAGTGCCCAGTCCCCTGCGCAACGTCGAAATGGCCAATATTGTGTTACAAATTCCCATATAATTCTGCTACGATCTTAAACCAATGATAGACATATGATGGGGATTCAACAGATCTGCACTAAAGGATATATTCTTAAAAATAAAAAAAACCATCAAAACGAGTAACACGGAAATCGTCTATCAGCATCCTGACTCCGAATTTCTGAATATTTTATAATATGTTCAATCCAACTCTTTTTGATCGACGATCTGTTAAGTTTTACAAAGTTTCTACAGCAATATGCTGCAAGAAAAAAGAATTTAAGTGAGTTTCAGACCTGTTTTCTTACTTAAGTGCTCCTCTTCCTCGCTTTGCTTGTTTTAATTAGAAGGGTTGGTAAGGTGAATTAGCAGGGTACGTAAGGTGTCTTACAGAGCTGCACGCAACGTTATAAATATGGTAACTGCTCTGCCCTATATACTATTTAGTAACCTGATCTGATTTCATTCTAGGACCAAAGCCTTTCATTATCTTCGCCTCCCGACACGACATTCGCAAAGTTTCCTTAGATTCTCAAAAAATTTCCATGTTAGTACCAAATGTAAGACGAGTAGTAGCCCTCGACTACGACTACTCCACTGGCACCATCTTTTGGCTAGATATGATAACAGAAACCATTAGAAGTGCTTCTTTAAAAAATCCCTCAATACAGAGAGTGATTGTAAATGAATCAATTGATAATCCTGAAGGCTTAAGCTTTGACTGGGTAAACAGAAGGTTGTATTGGACTGATGAAGGCTTTAGAACTATATCTGTAGTAGATCTTGATGGCAGAAATAGACTGGAACTGGTTAAGATCGGACTTCACAAACCGAGAGCTATCAAAGTTTACCCTTCTACTGGGTAAGTATGTATGCTGGATCATGCTGGATGCTTAACGTCAAAACAACAAACAGCACAGTTTGAAGTGTGCATGAGGTTCTTTTATATGATCCGGTATGAAATTTATCCTTTTTTACCATAATCTTTTATAATATATAGTTTTTGTTTTCCTGTCCGTCCTAGAGTTCGTGTTATAATCTCTTTGACCGTTTTTTTTTTTTGGATGTAGGTATATGTTCTGGACAGACTGGGGGGACTCGCCCAAGATAGAAAGATGCGGGATGAACGGAGATCCCAAAACAAGACAAGCTATCGTCACTACAAACCTCAAATGGCCTAATGGGCTTACTATCGATTTTACAACTAACAAACTTATATGGGCAGACAGCAAACTCCAAAAAATAGAATCTGCTAACTTTGATGGTTCCCAAAGACGGGTTATACTCAGAAAAGATGTTGGTCATCCTTTTGCTATCGATGTCTTCCAGGATACGTTGTATGTAAGTAGCTGGCGGCCGAGAAATATCTATATGGTAGATAAATCTACTGGTAAAAACAAAACCGTCACTTCAACAATTGTTACTCCAATGGGAATTCGCATTTACCATCAACAGAAACAACCAAAAGGTTTGAAATATTCAGCATTAACTCACATTTTTTTGTGAAATCTCCGTCAAGTTAACAAAATCATACTTTTTGAATTGTGCATTTTCATTGGACAGGAATGAACCCTTGTGGCAGCAATAATGGTGGATGTAGTCATATATGTCTTCTTGCACCAAGACCCAAGACTCATACTTGCCACTGTCCTGAAGGCATGGAACTATTGCCTGATGGGAAGACTTGTCAAGGTGATTTAGATCTATTGATATCAGTTGACGAGGAAAAAAATCGATATTTTCATTAAAACTCTTTAAAATCTGAAAGCCTATTAGAAAATATATATTAAAACATTTAGCCGGGGGAAAGCTAATACAATTGCATGTGTAAAACATACCCAACAACAACAACAAAACAGAACAGTAAAAAAAGAAAACCAAACATCTAAACTGCACAAACTGTGCAACACTTCCTTTTCATGGAATTTAAGATTGAATATATAATTAATGAACCTTCTATAGGGACATGGGGGCCATCTATATGTACATCAGAACCATGTATATGAACATCCATGTAAGACAGAATCAATGTCTGCTAAAGTGTGCTAATGCTATAAAGCTGAGAAATAAAATATGAATAATATCATTCCAGCAAAAACTTGCAACAGTAATCAGTTCGCTTGTGGGAATGGTAAATGCATACCTGGAACATGGAAATGTGATGGTGACGATGACTGTGGAGATGGAACAGATGAATCAAA